TAGATGCAAAGCTGCAGGCCCCTGTGATAAAGATCATCTCTGCAATCATGGGGTAGGTGCAAAACTGCAGGCCCCTGTGATGAAGATCATCTCTGCAAACACAATTTCAAAAGTCAGCAGCAACACCATCCCTCATTTCACATGGTCCTGTAGGTCAGTGCCATTCCCTCATCAAGAGGTAGTGTGCCTCCTGTCCTACAATGGGGGGCATTGTATCAGTGCTTCAGCGGACACTGGACGGGAAGCATTCTTTGATGCTGACTTTAAAGATGGACGTGTCGGGGGCAAGGAATGTAGTAAGTGCTATTAGGCACAGGGAAGCCTTCGGCAAGGAGGATCTGACCACGCTGGGAGGCAGAGGCCCTCCACAGACTGACGGCAGTGCAGCCCAGCCACGACCCTGCCTCTAGCCTCTGAGAACCAGAGCACCCAGTGAGCATGCTTGGTCCCAACCTCCAGCCTTGTCAGACACCTGTGGTGCAAACCACACGTCTGCTGTCATTTGTTCCACAGCAACAGAAAACAGACACATCTGTTTACTGAGTCGGAAACTGTTTAACAAGCCTTCCAGGTGACTAGGATTGTGCAAGCTGGAATACCACTAGTATGGATAATGGGCCCACCTGGTATAATTCTGGCCAAACTGGATTTGTTTGCTCACATACATACTTAGATTGACCACTGGACATCCTGAAAACGCCAGACTAGCCCCTCTGGACATTCCTAAACAGATGTGAGAAGTGACAAGCCCACCTATGGTTTCCATGTGCTTTCAGGAGAAAATCCAGTCTCTGGACATGAGCTACCTACCGCCAGCTACCTCTCAGCTCCGGTCCGGTGTCCCCTGTGTCTAGACTATCCTGGATCACTGAGGCTCCCCCGAGGCTGTCTTCATGTCTGGTGCCCTGAATCCAGGTCTCCTCCACAAGAGCATCTCCCTTATCTTTTCCTGGCTCGTTCCTACTTTAATAGAAAGTTAAACAGCTCACCTCTTCTTGGAAAGCCTGCCCTGGATGCCTCCTATGGGTGAGCCCTCTGTTGGCCCTCCTTTTTTTCTGGCTCAGAGGACAATGACAACGGATCTTTTTTGTTTTTTGTTTTTGTTTTTTTCGAGACAGGGTTTCTCTGTGTAGTTTTGGAGCCTTTCCTGGAACTTGCTCTGTAGACCAGGCTGGCCTCGAACTCACAGAGATCCACCTGCTCTGCCTCCTGAGTGCTGGGATTAAAGGTGTGCGCCACCACCACTCGGCCCAGGTTTATCTTTTTAACGACCCAGGTTGCCCATGAGACTCCCCAGGGTCAGGCAAACAAACTTGACCCATGCTTTCACAGCTAGGCCAGTTCTAGGCAGCCAGGAGATGGCTCCCTGACTATCTGTTGACAGAATGCCTGGATGAATGATCAGTTCAGAGAGCTGTAAACTCCCAAATACTGACCTGAAAAGAAGAAATGGGTTTAAAAGACATTTGATGCCTTACCACCAAACACACTGGAGAACGGCTGAGATGGAAAGGTTTGCGTTTTATATCCTTCACAATTTTCAAATTAAGGGGGGAAATCCCTGATCTGTTTTAAATGACCGTAGTGGGTTCTGACTTGGGACGACATAAGGCTTCCCCTGCTCCTTCCATCAGTGGGAGGGGCCTGCTGACCCTGAGAGGGCAGCAACCGCGCACCCACTTCGGCTGGAGTCACAGTCCGCATGGGGAGCCACCCCGTAAGTCCTTGGGAACAGTAAGCACCTGGAGTGGCAGGGAAGAGGTACCAAAGCTCCTGTGGGCAGAGGAGGGAGGGCCCTGGCTGGCCCACAGCAGAGCCATGGGATGCAGGACACGAACCTCAAGGTCTGTCCTGAAGCTCAGGAAGTTGGTCAGAGAGGACTTTTGTTGCATGGCATCCTGGGTCTCTGGGACTTGCTCTAGCACTTGACGGCGACACCCTGGGTGCGGGCTGGATAGGCAGGCCTTCTACAGTTCAGCGTCACACAGGCTTCCAAAGGGACGCATCCCCGTGGGAAACTAAAGCACCTTGCAGAATCAAGGCCAAGTCACAAAGTCAGCTCCAGCTCTGGCTCCGGCTCCCTTCCCCCACCCCAGGGTCAGTACCACCTCAGGTGGGTTTCTGGCTGAGTGGGCCATTCTGGAGGGTCGCGCACGTTGTCTCTCAAAGCTCCGTCAGAAAACCCACCGTCTGCTCACAGAAGGTGGACTGCTCCCACACTAAAGGCCATTGCAGAAAGGGGGCAGTGAGTGGTGGGCTCTGCAGCGGAAGGGGCAGGCACCAAGGCATGCTTGGTGTGTGTGCCTGAGGAGAAGGAAGCCAGGCAGCTCACGGGGTAGGAAGGCCCAGTGTCCTAATATGCTGAGCCCTGTTTTCACTCAGCGTTTCTCAACAGAAGACATTTGGGATGAAACAGTATCTCTTTGTGTGGCCCTGTGTGGCCTTCCCCCCACATCCCCAGCATTTCCCCCACGGCCCCTTCTCCTGATTGTCCTCAAGACCAGCCACTGTCCTCTATTTGTTCCCGAAATTGCGAAGCCTTCCAGAGATTGCCAGATCTCCCTGGGAGGGCAGCCTTAGAGAATAGTAACGCTGGGATCTAAAATTAAGCAGGTTGCCCTAACATTCCAAGAATAGCCCCAGCACACCCAATGCACTCCTTTAACGTCGTATTCGACAGGAAAGAATGACCTCTTTTAATCTAGAACACCTTGGAAATGTGCCATTTCAAACAGGTCCCAGGCAGATCCTCACACTGGCCACAACTCAAAAGTGGGTTGGCGCGTGCAGGCGGAAACGCTGGAAGGCTTCCGGGGATCCGGAGTGAAACGCCTCACACATACAAAATGCTCTTTGGCCAACTGAAGGATGCTAACAGGAGGGGACTTACTAAGTAAAAGGGAGTGAGAAAAAACACGTTGGTGATTCAGAAAATGATTCAAGGGCTGGGAATGGGGCTCGCCTTGTAGAGTGACTGCCTAGCGTGAAGGAAGTTCAAGGCCAATCTCAGCTACAAGGGGGTTCAAGGCTAGCCTAGGCTAGTAAGATTCTGTCTCAAAAACAAAACAAAACCAAACAAAAAACCAACAGATTTAAGATCGTTTCAGGCCAAATGGTTTTTTCTTTGTTGTTGTTTTTTCCTGCTTCATTAAAGAAAACCCCACTTCATAACAGCTTTTTACTCCGGCCTATTCCTAAGCCAAGAACCAGTTACACTCTGGATCTAAGAGGAAATGACGCTGAAAAATTGATCTTATGGTATGATGACAGTTTCTTCCTTATTTGAAAAAAATAAGGAAGTTAGTTTAAAAAAGCTAGAAACTTTGTTTCAAACTAAGTAGGCTCTAACTGACATTTGCTGCTATAATTAAATTACTGGAAACCCCCAAATGCTAGAGTATCAACATCCCTCCTGTTTATTCTAGAACTCAATGGAAAAAACAAATGCTTACATGAAGACCTCCTGCAATTCAAAAGTCAACCACCCTTGTCTTTGCAGCCTGAAAACCCAGGCAGCCCTGTCCAGTACCATTACGCACGCAGTTAACTACAGCTCAGAGTGAAGCTGGGAGCCACAGACAGCAGCCTGCAGACCAGGAACTCAATAGGAGGAAGCAGGTTTAGAATAGCAATGGGTGCCCCCCACGCCACCCCGAAATATTTCACAAGAAATGTTTGATTCCATTTCAGATGTGGAAAGAGAGCATGTTTTTCCCACCAAGACTGGAAACAGGAAAGGTCAGGGGCCGTAACCTATGACCATGTCCTATCTGGAAACTGGAGACAGCGGAGCCAGTGACTAGTCAGGAAGGCATGACTTAGGAGAAGTGACTGAGCAATGGGGGTGTACCTGATGAGGAAACTCAGCTCAAATGCTGTGGCGGGTCTGTATGCAGGAGAGAGAGTCACACAGTATACAAGACGGTGAGTTTTGTAGGGCTTCTTCTTCTTGTTGTTTTCACAAAGGGAGCTAGGGTGAAGGCTTACTGGCTAAAGTATCTGTCATACATGCAGGAGTCCCCAGGACCCCCCTAAAGCTACTACAGTAGTGCCTGTCTGGAATCACAGCTCTCCTGTGTGAGACCGGAGGCAGAGGCAGGAGGACCCCTGGAAGCTGATGGCCAGCTAACCTGGAGGTCCACAGTGGTGAAGTGGGGGACTGTCTCCAACAAGGTGGAAGGCAAGTCCCGCCCCCAAGGCTGTCCTGTGACTTCTACTCATGTTGTATGGTATGTGCACACCTGCCCTTATATATGCGTGTGCACGTTTGCACACGCATGCACGTTTGCACACGCATGCACGCACGCAAAGATAAAGCAACAACATTCTCACTTAAGGACACAAAGCGCCATGGGACAGCAGCTGCTACCATGAACAGAATCACGTACAGAGGAACTGGCCAGGGACTCCCACCATACAGGCTCCGACAGTGACCTCGGTCAAACCAGAACAAGAGTCTCCACCAGAGCCAGAGCCTCTTGAGGCTGGAGCTTCCCTGTGGCCTGCTGCTCCTCTCCAGCACGGATGACCACTCTCCTCTCTCACGTGCTCCCTGGGAACACACCACAGGAGTCAGCCTATGACACAGCACGGGAGTCAGCCTACGACACAGGTAGGTAAATGAGCCAGACTGATTTCCCCACTGCTGTGGAATGGACTGTCTTCCACCATTATAGCCATTGGTGGAAGGGACTGTGGCAGATGAGGTCCTGTAGATGGGAATAGCTGCTCATAGGAAAAGACCAGGGAACCTCCTCCCTCCCCTCCCCTCCCCTTCCCTCCCCTCCCCCGCCCCTCTCTCTGTACCATGTGAGTGTCTGTAAAGCAGGGCGAAGCCCTCCCCAGGAACCAGCTGTGCCCTTGGCCAGTCTACCAGGGTGATGGGAAATGCAAGTCTTCTGCGTTAAGCCACCCAATCCGTGGCAGTTTGTGATAGCCTGAGCTAAGATGCCCTCAGGCACTCAGCTTTGGAACCAGGTTTTAACAGTCTATGGACTCGAGTCCAGGTTCCTGACTCACTGGGAGGCAATGATTAAGACAATCAATGTCTCCTTTTAATTACGGCACACTTTTTGCTTTCAAACCAACACAGGACACTGGTTTGCAAAGCTGGCTGTATGCTGGATGAGTGAAGAATTGGTCCCCTAGTCAAACGGCAATTCTTTCCAATAGTCAAACCTCAACTCTCTCCAACATCTGTCTCAGCTGAGACTGCTAAAGGGGCTTTTCCCTCTCCCCTTGGGGAAGCGCGATAACAATGTGAAGCAGCTTCTGAACAGGTTAAAGGTTCCTGAAACACAAGCATGGTACTCTTAACGGCTTTACTGAGTTATAATGTATACGACATTATAATAAGTCAATATAACATTTATGATGATATAGTATAGTCAATATAATGTATATGATATTATAGTATAGTCAACATCTTCAGAACTGAGATATAACTGACATATTGCTTGAGATCATGAATAATGTTTTTACAGTTGTTTTTGTGTGTGGTGTGTGTGGTGCAGGCATGTGATTGTATGGATTCACACCTGTGCACACACATATGGTGATGAGAGAATGACATCATGTGTCTTCTCTATTATATTCCACCTTACTCCCTTGAGACAGTATCTCTCAATGAACCGGAAGCTAAACGCTGTTTTGGCTGGCTGCCAGGGAGCTTCCAGGATCCATCTGCTACCACAGCACAGTGATGGGACTCCAGCTGTCGGCAGCCATGTCCGGAGTGTTCCTTAGTGCTGGGGATTTGAACTCATGTTTGCACAGCGAGTGCTCTAACGCACGGCGCTGTCTCCTCCCCAGCCCATGAGCACTGTTTTTGCTGAAAAATATTATTCATGAAAAATTTAAACTTCCATCTACTCATAAATTTACTTAAATTCCATCTAAAACATGTTAGCAAAACATGTTAAATTCTCCCTGGGTGCCAACTAAGTAAAACCTATTTTTCCAGGCTGAAGAGAACTTGCTGTTCTTGGAGGGGACCCAGTGTCCAGTTCCCAGCGCCCAAATGCCTAACCCCAGTTCCAGGGGCTCCAATACCCTCTTCTGGCTTTGTATGGCCCTGTACACGCATTTATACACGACACATACATTAATGAAACCGCACACTTCCAAGTTCTCCCTGTAAACTCAGGCAGAGGACTACTTGAGAGAGCGATGCGGTGGCCACGTAATGCGTGAGTTTGCTCTGTGTGCGCGCCCTGCTCATTTGTGCAGATTTGATGATTGTGCGGTTTGTAACTGCTGAACTGGCTTGTGGTCGAAGACAAGGAAAGATGTGTTGGCTTGGGACCCAGTTGTGCTTCCAGCTGTCGGGTGCTGGGCTGTGACCAAAGCCTCGTGTCTCGGTTCTCGGACATCTGCCTTTCACTGTCCTGTGGAGGTCAACTTCTGGTCCATGACTAAGGTGCTGTGCCCACACACGCTTGGCCTGAGTGCCGGCGTGTTGTGACTCATGCCCTTGGCGGCCCTCAGAGGGTGAAAGGGGAGTCAGACGGTAAGAGCCACACTTTGGTCAGCATGAGGTCACAGATGTGAAGTCCTCACGTGGGCACCATCCAGAACTTAACCTGTGATTTCATCTAAATATTGTTTTTATTTCCTTTATAATTGTCCACTTCCTAACCTGGTGGTGAGGTGATGGTCTAACATGCTCCGGGGTTTAAAAACACATTGACCAACTGATTCACTGTGGCTGCTCAGAACTGCTATTAGCGGTGAGAACCCAAGACCCTAAAAGGACAAGTCACGGAGGGCAACTTAGAAAACCGGTGCTCACAGCCAGGGTGGCACTGACCCTCCAGCCCAGGTTCAAACAGGGCTGCAGGGTGCCTGATTTATTTCCAATATGTAACACAGAGGGGGGCTTAGCTCGATTGGAGACACACACAGCGGAGACCCGTAAGGGGATGAAGAAGCAGAAGCCATCAACTCCGACCAGGACAGTTCCTAGCCCCCTTCCTTGCTCTGGGGCAACACTGCTGTGGGGTGGACTGATTCTCCAGCATTACCACTTCTTTCAGCCGCTCACCCAGTCAGCCGTTTGCTCCCTGAGCACCAGCCATGGTCTGGGCTCTGGTTAGGCCAAATCTTGGGGTCCAGATACAACTATGTCACCATTCCCACAGGGCACATGTGACCACCCAAAAAGACTGTCGGGGTCCCTGAGCATAGACCTAGGTATGCTCTCGATGCTCCGCCCAATGTCACTGGTGTGTTGGTGACTTTAAAGCGGCCCCCGAAGCGAAGGTCGAGAGCCGCCACCCAGTCCTGTAGGCAGGAGCTCTGGCACCGAGCAGCATCTCTAATCCCCTTTTACTCTGCATTTTGAGACAAGGTCTCATGAAGTTGCCCAGGCTGGCCTTGAATTCATTCTGCAAACCCAGGTGGGCTTTGAATTTGTGATCCTCCTGCCTCAGTGCACTGAGTAGTTAGGATTACAGGCTTATGTCACAGGCCCAGCTATGACTTACTACTTGTAAGTGGCAAAGTTCCACTCAAGTATTTCTCAAGAAGTCTTTGTATGGAGTCGAGTCTTCCCCAGTGGCCTGGAGTAAGGTGTGGAGAATTTCAGTTCTTACTTGCGGGCACGGCTCTAGTCTGCCATCTGCCCACTAAGACGGAGGCTGAATATCCTCAAGAAGGAAGCGCCAGACAACCCAACTTGAGGAATAGATCTGTGATTCACCGTGGGTTCCGTGACCTTGGTTATGGGCCGAACAGCAGCCCTAAATGCATGTGCTGGGAGTCCAATGTCTAGCACCCCCACACGAATGAACCTGAAGGGAGGCCCTTTAAAAGATGCTATGGTTGCCGGGCGGTGGTGGCGCACGCCTTTAATCCCAGCACTCGGGAGGCAGAGCCAGGCGGATCTCTGTGAGTTCGAGGCCAGCTTGGGCTACCAAGTGAGCTCCAGGAAAGGCGCAAAGCTACGCAGAGAAACCCTGTCTCGAAAAACCAAAAAAAAAAAAAAAAAAAAAAAGATGCTATGGTAAGAGGCCACGAGGGTGAGTCCTAATTCAGTCTGCCTAATGTCATTATGGCAGACTTGGAGGTGCAAAGGGCCACTAGACAGAAGAAACCTCGAAGGAGACAGTAAAAAGCTAATATCCACATGCCAGGCAGAGTCACAGAAGGAGACAGTTCCACCCCCACCCACAGGTTGATCTTGAACTTAAAGCCTTCAGGAATGAGAGAGAAAAGTCCCTGTTGTTGAACGCTTAGGCAGTGATTCGTGTTGGGGCGTTCTTAATCAACTAACAGAGACGGCAGCAGCATCACACACGTCCATTTTGAACTAACATCTTTATCCTACACAGAAGCTCTTATCTTGAAGGAAATGACCGGACAGGAATGTAATGGCGGCTCCAGGGCACCTACCCCAGAGCACGAACCTACCTTCAGTGCCTAACTCTACTATGGAGTTGAGGGCATTCACATTCTGCCATCCAACACAGGCTGCAATTCACTCCCACATGAGAACCCCGAAAATCACCAACAAGATAAAGGGGGACATGCAACTCTGAGTCATGAAACGCATTTCCCAAATGCCACCTTCCCGGCAGTCACTTGGAAGTCCTCCCCTAATGAGTCCAAGGGAAGTGGCACCAAGACTTTCCAAGGCACCCACCACACCAAGAGAAACACAGAGTGGACTTGTGCCAGGAGTGACTATCTCCCTGGAGCACTGTTCCTTTTCCAAGGGTGAGGAGGAAGGCCTGCTGGCTGGCTCCAAGGTGGAAAACTCACACAGCAGTGTGTCCTTACAGAAAATATCTCTAGTTATTTCTTCCCTGGAAAAAGGGATGCCAGAGCCTGAATCACATTGTTCCGGACTTTAATGATGCTGATTTGCCACTTTCCATTGCAGCAATCGAGGGGAAAGAGGTGTCAGTTCTGCCATGGAGACGGACCTCTCCATCTGGTCACAAGTCCACATTCTGACGATGGGATAGCCTGGCGTCAGCTGCTGAGGGCTGCTCTGATGCTCCCTAATGGCCACTCTGTGGTGATATACTGTGTACCCTAATAAATGTGCCTGAAGATCAGAGGACAGAACAATCCACTAGATTAACACATAGAGGCCAGACAGTGGTGGCACACACCTTTAATCCTAGCACAAGGGAGGCAGAGATCTGTCTGGGTCTCTGTGAGTTCAAAGCCACCCTGGATTGACTCAGTCTAGGAGAGAAACAGAGCCAGGCAGTGGTGGCACACACCTTTAATCCCAGCACTTGGGAGTCACACGCCTTTAATCCCAGCACTAGGAAAGTTGAGACAGGAAAAGATATGGGTGGGCGGAGAAAGGAATATAAGGTTTGAGGAGACAGGAATTGAAGTCTTTCAGCTGAGGAAAGCTTTTCAGACTGAGGAGTCCTAGAGGTAAGAGGTGGCTTGTTCCTTTGTCTCTCTGATCTTTCAGTATTCACCCCAATATCAGGCTCTGGGTTTTTTTTTATTATTATTATTAAAAGACCTGTAGGAATTCGTGTTACAACACTCTTTCCCCCTGTTCCCTTCAGTCAGCATTAAAACCCTGGTAGGCCTCCCGAGCCTTTCCACACAGGACTCTGGCATCTCCTCCTGCTCGTAGGTGGTGCTGGAGGTCCCTGACCCTGGAGGTTAGCAGCAAACCCCCTGGAGGGCACCTTAGCCTGACACTGCAGAGCCTTATAAAAACACCATGGAAAGAAGACGTGGAACTCAGCTGACGGGTTGTATGAGAAGACCTGAATGGCCGAGGTTCTAGACACACTC